TCAAATAGATTGGAGTTATGAAAAATGAAAACTATCTGTGACGATTTTTGCTTTCTCTGTGGCTCGTCTTTACAATACATGAGTGTTGCTGATTTTAAAAAATCGGCTGCAGATCTCGCTATTAAATATAGCAAAGATTTAAAAAAGTACGAATTTATAAGTGAAATTGAAAGTTTTAATTTTGAAGTAACAACTCTTATACAAAATATAGAAACTGCATCTCCGTTTAATATTCTACAGGCACTTCATGATTTTGGTTTAATTGAGTCTTACCCAAATATCAATGTCGTTCTTCGAATATTTCTAACTTTTCCCGTTTCTTTGCTTCATGCGAGAGAAGTTTTAGCAAGTTAAACTTAATAAAAAAAATTATTTAAGATGAACTATCGGACAAGAACGATTATCCAATATTTCTTTTATTTCAATAGAATACAATATCGTTAAAAATATTAATTATGATGGTGTAATTAATGAATTTGCTGAAATGAAAGCCAGAAAAATTCAATTAAAAAAATTTCATTAAAAGCTATTTTAATGTATTTGTTTTATTATTTTCCCAAAACCAAATAAATTAAGGGGCCTAAATGCAAATTCTTGCACAGGGCACAGAAATGGCTAGTTACGGCTTTGTTTACGAGCAATTATTTATTATAACGATTACAGGGCTGAAATTTATAATCATATTTTTAATTTATTTAATTTAAAATATATGCTCTCCACCTCAAATTATTACAGTAGTGTCTTTCCCCTGTATATCATACTTTTCCTTTAATAATAAAGTCGTGCCGCTCATCTAATTAACACCTTTCAGGGAAAATTTTTTGAATTGAAATAATGACTTCCGATATGCATCGTAGGTTCGTATATAGTTAATCGGGTCTCTTGCCTCTATGGTTTCTCTATCTAGTCTCGTCTTTCATCTATCTGACTCCGTTCTCGAGATTAAGGAAAGGCAGTAGAAATTTATAGGTTTACAACTTTTTCACATTGCAGCCCAATTAATATTTTACATTTTACATAATCGTATGAACTATTATTATATTCCACTTTTAATTATTAATATAATTTTGTTATAATTATTTGTGTTTTGATTTTCAATAGCATTTAGTAGTTTTTATTTTGCGACTGATATTATAAGCATTTCTGCTTGCCTTTTGACTGTTATATAATTTATTTCTGATCACTATTATAATTCATCAAGTAGATACCTCCAAAATAATTTTAAAAATTCTGTTACTGTATATTCTTAAAACATTTTTAGAAAAGTTTTTATGAATATCAGTAGGCCTATAATACTTTTTAAATATTTCCATTCTTTCAAATATTTATATCTAATTTCTTAGTTTGTATTTAATTAATTAATTTTTTATTACAAATAATAATCTTCAAAAATTATCAATGATACTTATAGATAAGGAAAATACTTTCTTTAGCTGATTGGATATGAGGGCAAACTTTTATATTTTTTATCTTTATTTAACTTACATACTGAATACATTCATAATGACACGGAACAATTTAGAAAAGTTACACCGTGGTGATATTGCATTATAGCAGAAGCAGAAGAAAAAGCAGCAATTAAAATAAAATGTTGTCTCGGGCATGTAAGCATAAGATGAAAAAAATCAACACGACCTGAGCTGTGCCGTGAGCCGATTTGCGATTCTGGACTCCAACTGACTTGTGAGAGCTGAGCTGACAATTGAAATTCTGGACTGCAGCTCAGCTCAGATCAATTTATTTGATAGAACTCTGATATTTATCAATCAGGCCAAAATAAAAGTTTTTGTAGTTTGTTACGGTATTTAATTTAAATAATAAAATTAAAAATAATTACATAGGAAAAATTATGATCTCGAATGAATGAAATGTAAACATTTAGTTATTTTGTAGCCAGAAATCTTTGAGTAATCTTGTACTCAAAGTATTTTTAAATTGTTCATATTCTTACAATATTTTATTTATTTTATAAATTTTAAATGCATATACAAAAAAATATTAATGCATTAAAAACACATTGTTTTATGTTTCTATTGATAATTGATGAATTTATATTCATAAATAATTTTCATGTACTGTACATTTTTAATTTAAATGATATTCAGAATTAACCTGTAGAGTCCTATGATTTAGACTCTTAAATATGATTGAATTATAATTTTTAATTGTTAATGATTAAGAAATTTTATTTAATAGAAAATTAAAATATAATAAAATTGATGACGGGATAAATAATAATGCTAGCAATTATACAAGTAATTATAAAAACAATTTAATTACTTATATAATTGCTTATATATATATATAAGTATAGTGTGTATAATATACATGTGTAGGTAAAAAATGAAAAATGCTTATATAGACTACCAATTTTTATGCAAAATATTTTAGATAATATAATGAATTTTATTTATTTATTTCCTTCTAGGAATAAGTTAGTGCATGTAAACAGTAGAAAAAAAATATATAAACTGTATACCAAAAAAACTACAAGTATAAATATTATTCCTAATTTGAAGCTCGTACAGTATATATTACTACGTATATAAACTTCAAATTATACAAATTAAATCTGTTTTAATAATATTTGCACAATACGATTTATTAATACAATATAATAATAAAAGATTATATTATAAAATCTGAATAGAAAATAAAAAAAATGATTGTCGATCATCAACGTGATAAATAATTTCTCTTCCATCAAGTTCTTCAATAAGTCATTTATCAATCTGTCTAACAAGGTAGAAAATGAGTGTGTCAACACAGCGAGAATCAATCAATTCTTTCATTCTTAACTTTATATTATTTCCTGAAAATATTATCTTTTTTATGAATAGATTTCGATACCCATGCTACAGATTGGATACAAATTTGATTAACTTTTTATCTTCCTAGAACAAGCTTTAGGCTCATATTTTACGATATCCTTTCATTCGATAAATTTTGCAAAATTTATATTTTGAAATTATATCACAGTTATTTTCTAAATTTCTATTTCAGCTCTTGTTGAAAATATTTATTATCATTTTTTATGACAAGCAGTTTCTCGGAAGCTTCTTATTACAGTAATTTTATTTTATTTTATTTATTTATTTGTTTTTTTGGATGGAAGATTACAGTAAATATCAAATGCATGGAGTAGGTGAACGACCAGATTCATATAAAAATGTACACTTCAACGGTATAAAAATCGAAATCATTAATTTTTTTTGATATATAATATGAGGAGCCTTCCTAGTTATAATACGGCTTAATAGCTTGTTTACATAAATTAATTTAAACCATAATTCACTGTATTGATTTTCTTTGATGTAACTATAAAGTAAACCCGGAAGTGGTGTTGGAGCAATTTGATATCGTGATTTTAGATTATTATAGTCTCTGTTTATGGTTATTGACAGAAAGAGGAAGCTATAGTCTCTTCCCCTCGCTCAGTGTAACAGGTGTAGTTTAGCTCAGTGACCTAGAAAATGACGTTTCGATGATTCATACTTCCTATAATTGACGCTCAAGAGAAGTGTCGCCAATACCTAGAAATAAATGGTTGTCGGAGATATTCTTTGTATTACCAGTTCAATTAACAAAGATATTGGCATTGAACACGGAAAAGGCCAATGACCGTAAAATCTGTAAATAATTTATTTGAAATATTATCATTTTTAAATTTAATTTTATCTTTTATAATTATCATCTCTTATTCTTGATTTTAAAAAATTAATTATTTTATAAATAAAAAAATAAACTTTATATTCATTTGTCACAGTGTTGAAACATATTGTTAGAACTTAATTAATATTCAGCTAGATGCTACTTAATTTCTATAAGATCACCTTATCACACTGAGAATCATTTATTAACAGTTAGAACAGTTAAGAACATTTAAAATACAAAATTCTTTGGAATAATGAGCTATATGAAGCCAAATAATAAATTACAGTAATAAATATATATATACAATTTAAGATAACAAACTAATAAAATAAAATAAAATAAAAAGAAAAAAGAAAAAGAAAAAAATTACAATCATAACATTAGTTGTTGATTGTACGAACATTATGCAGTATTCTCTAACAAGTTCATTTCAACCATATATTTTTACGCTGTGGGTAACACTGTGGCATCTTTATAGTTCATATAGTCGCCCAAAAGATTACTTGTATAAATTTCAACTTTTTCTCAAATTCATTGCTAATGTTGATAAGTGTACCGGTTTTATAATGCTAGCTTCCTCTTATTCTACCACTGATCCTTCGCTTTGCGCCATTTTAGACAAAGTCGTATAATACTGTCCTTTCCCAATGTTATAGGCCTACATGTGTTCTTTAAAACTTTTATTAAGGTTTCTGTTTGTGTCCTCAATGTATTCTTTCTCCAAACCCAATAATTTATTTTTGTAGGGGATTTTGTATACTCCAAGCCTGCTCTTCTTTTTTTAACTTGTTTTTTGTTTTGTTTTTTTATTTATTTTTTATTTTTTATAATCAGATGGCCGAGATCTTTAGGTTGCAACCTATCGCTCTGGAAGACCCGAAATCGAATCCTGACGGGTCTAAAATCCCAGGAATTTTTGGGGGATGGTCCGTCCGACCATCCTACGACCATCCCCTGACCTCCTCGTTGTAGGTCTGGCCGAACTCATATAGGAGTTGCTCTTAGTGCCCACAGGCCGGAAGGAGAGGAGGAAAATATATATATTTAGACCTATAAGACTTATTTTCAGTTAAGATTTTGATTTCATTGATTAAACAGGTAAAGGTAAAAGTCTGAGATTCTTCTATATTAGCTTTGTCTTAATCGATTACAAATCAATAATAGCTTGTAAGTTTATATCATTAAAATCGATAAACTGTAAACAATTATCCATATTTTAGAATAAGATTTTTATTTTTTTAACTTTTTGAAAACCAAAATAGTTTGGTTTAATGAATAATTCTTTTAATTTGAAGTAAATAAGTATTTATTTGTACCATTAAAATTTTAATTTTACATTTTTATTTTGTAGAAATTTGGAATGAAATAATCATGTAATTGAATCTCGATATGGGGTGCTGTGGAACTGCAGTTCGAATACATGCCAAAAATGACATTTCTGTAATTATTTAAACGTTTCATATTTACAGAAAAATATAATAATTTTATAGAAATAAGTTAGTTTTGAATGATTTTCGAGTTTAATTTACCTGTAATACTGACTTTTTCAGTTAAACGGAAGATATGTTCCAACCGATGTTGAGCTGTTTGATGGACCAATAAAGGAAAGAAAATGCCAGGATGTGGTGTTTTTGATTATTTTTATAGTTTTGTTAACATTCGTGGTTAGTTTAGTTTGATTTTATATTATATAAAATTTATTTAAAATATAAAATGTAAATAATTAATGATAATATCAATTTTAGTAAGATGTTAAACATTCAATTTTCAAGTCAACTGTAACTGTTATTTCAATGATTTTCTTTTATAAATATTACAGATCTAATAATATTAAATATGAAATTTAGAAATTAGTTAACAATTTGATAAATTCCAATTTACTTTCATAGTGTATTGAAATTAGTAATGTAAAATGTAAAATAAGTCGCGAAACGGAACGATTTCCTATGTAAAATAATAACCGAAAATCTTTCTAACGCGGAAACGAAGGGCTTTTTGAAAATTAAATGCCTAATATAATTTAAGTAAAGAGAAATTTTTCGGCTTAACAGCAGCTAAATTCTAAATCCCAATTAATGTTGTAACTTGCATGCTTCGGATTATGGTCGAATTTTCTAATTTACGAATTTAAGGAAAGTAATATTTTGAGTGTTTGATATAAGGAGAATTCTATATATAATGTTTGATATAAGGATAATTCTATATATAGGGAATAATAACAAATAATCAGTTACGACTTTACAAATATAAAACGCATTTATTCATAACTTTTTGTTAGCATAAAACATATGGAACAAATCATGTGAAATATAATATGTATCATGTAGTCGGCTATAGTACGCAATACCACAGAAAACTACTTATAGTTTGAAGGAGGTAAAGTAATTGATTTTATATGACAATCCACAAAATGGTAGTTTTTTTAAATAACTCATCAAATGTCACCTATCTCACTTATTGTATGATTCTTTCATTACAGTATTTTCTAAACCAAATTAGCTAGATCTATTTGTTTGGTTTTTTAATGTAAACGTTTGTTCGAATACAGTAACCTAAATACACTTAGAAATTAAACTACCTAATAAAGCACGGGAAAAACTAAAAATGTATGACGATTGCTAATTTCTTTGCATTTCTTTTGTAAACCGTTTATAATGATGTAGAAATCTGTCATACTCGTGGCAGTGTTGCCCGTAATCACGCAAACGCTTATAAAAAAGTTGAAACATCCGGTTGTTTTGTCGCAAAGAAAAGCCAAGCCCTAAAAATTCGGCTTTTAATTAACAGGCATAGTTTTTATTGTCAGAAATACAATGTAGATAATAAATAGAAAGTTAAAAAATGTTTTTAATAAACAAAAATATAGCGACATTGATATAAAAACAGCTACAATTTTTTTTAAAAAAATAGCCCAATTGACCAGAAATCGCAGAATCTGGCAACTTTGCCCTGTGCCTATTTGAAAACATTTATTATTGTTAATGATAATAATGGTGATAGGAACTAGTGTCTTCGACATCTCAAACCTCTTCTTTTATTTTTGATTCTGCCGCTACACAAATAGCCGAGTTCGAAATGAAGAAAATTTTATCAGAATATTTTGAAATTTGTTCGTTATATGGCGTGATAAATCGTATACACTATATTTGTATACAGTTGTTTATGTCATTTGCTGGGATTGTAAGTTGTTCGATATATGGAGAAGTTCGTTATAGGAATAATTTGGAATTAGAGAATTTTCTGTAATATTCTTTTTCCGTTAAGGTTGTCCGGAAAGTAGCTATAACAATAGTATTTCTATTTCTCTTCAACTGTAAAAAAGTTAACATTTTGTTATTCCTAGGGGACGAATATTTAAAAAATATACACTACGTTTGGATTAAAGTCACACGTACAAAAATCTGAAAAGTAATCGATAAAAATAATATTAAAATGTGAGTAAAACTTATCAAATGATTATGGCAAAGCATTTTCAGACCACACACTTCTTTTCGTATTAAACAACCAACTAGAATACACTATATAGAATGGCTGTGATCTTGGTTACAGCACTACTGGTGGCAACGACTGGTACTATCGATGAGTTGAAATATTCCAGCTCGTTGCCTTTACACAACACAAATGAACGCCTTCTTGACTAAAAGGAAAATGGCGGATGTGTATTTAATTAATTTTCCTCAAACTTGACATCGCTTCAGCCACTCTATGTGTAATAGTATATTCTAGCTCATTGACATTAACTAAAGAATAAGTAACTACTACTATATGGCAAAATTCTTACAACTAGCCAAAATATAGCATAATAGTGTATTACCGACACAAGGAATAACAAAAATTAAATTATAAAAGCAATTATCCTTACCTATAATATAATGGTAATTTTTAAATATAAATTAGAGTTCTATTTAGTCTAATTTTACGTCAGTCAATGAATTAAATAATGACTAGCAAGTGCATATTCTCGGAAATGAAGAAATTTAGGCTTAAATACATTATGTTGATATTTTCGTATTTAGTTTTTTAACTTTCAAACTCTCTGTATGTCTGGCCAGAGCACAGTAGGGCCGACTGGGTGGGAGGAATAAGTCAGGTATATCCAAGAAAGATTGCCCATGAAAAATTCTTGAAAACTCAAATCAGGATTTCCAAAGCGGCAGATTGATGCTTTTTACCGCTTCGGCATCTGTCATCTATGCGATGAATATTGGGTTTTAACGCGTATACAGTATTATCTTCGTTTTTCACCATATATCCATTTAAATGTTTTCAACATGTCATTGAAACATAAAAAGGTTACATTAGAGGAGAAGCAGTTCTAAATATGAGTTGTAACATATTTTCCAGCTTTTTTTCCCTCTCTCTTTTATAAAAAACAAAAATATCTAATAACCACAGAATCAGTTTTTAAGATATTTAATTAAAATATGATCTAAGCACGTATGATTTTTAAATAATTTCTAAATTTTAACTTTTAAATACAGCTAATAAATTTTTGTAGGTATTTCATTATTTGAAAATTCCAGAAAAAGATTTAATTCGTTTTATAAATGGTATTGATGATAATGGAAATATATGTGGAATTAAAAATCAGAAATTTGAAAATATTTCTAGTTCTGGTCGTGATATGACAGATAAGGAGTAAGTCTTTCTTATGGTAGATACATTTATTTAAATATGATATAATACTGTAAGATAAAAACTTTTCTGTAGATTTTTTATGAGTTGTGACCGAAGACACTATATATGCCAAATACCATCCAAATGTGTTGATAGATGTCCATCTGATTACAGGTAAAATGTAACTAGAAAAATAAGTTTTTACCAATTATTTTAAAATGTTAATTCTAAAGATTTAAATTTTTTATTTTTTGTAAGTAATTTAATTAACAGTTTAATTTTTTTAAAGAAACAAAACTCTAACTTTGATTATTTAATCAGTGAAGCTTTCGGAAAATGTATATACTGTACATAGATTTCCAATATCTTTTACTAAAGTTTCATTTTATGCAAATGAAGTGTAGTCTTACGTTAAATGTTTATCTGAAAAAAAACACTGTTTTCATTGATAATTAATAGATAAATGCTAGATAAATTTATATTTTAAACACTATTTCTTATACATAATTATCAAAATGTAATTTGAGACAGAAAGAGAAAGAAAACTTACCGAGGATACATGCGAAAAGTCTTATTACAATACAAGTTATTATTGTTGATTTCATTTTTTTTTTACTTTTCCGGCTGTTACAGTGTGTAACATATTATGTATAGGCCTATATGTAAAATTTTTTCATATATGCATAAATTATTTAAAAGAATGTCTTCTTGTCTTATATTAACTGGTTTTTTTACAAGAAATTTTAAAAAAACTAAATGTAATTATTAACAGATTTCTATTTTTAACGNTATTTTGTTCATTACCGTTTAAATGTTTATAATAATTATTTTACTATTTAGAATAAGTCTGAAATCGGAAACAAATAAATATGACTTTAATTATAATGGTTTGTAAAATATTTGGTAACTAAGATTAGAATTTTATCGGTTTTGTGATGTCTCAGCGCAAGGTTGCCTCGAGATGCTTCTAATTACAGGGGTTTGGCTTATTATAAGATAGTTTAGAACAATAGATCAATGATGGAACGATGGAACAATTGATGGGAAGTATTCGTGAAAAGTCATTTGGATCATAAATAAATTAAAACCGAGAATCATCATGACGTTAATAATCGTAATAATAATAATAACAGACCAGACATTACGTTCATTTGCAAACAAAACAAATATATGTCATAGACATAGATGTACCAAACACCCACAACATACAAAATACCATAAACTGTAAAAAATAATAAATACTCAGAACTCAACCACGAAATAAAGAATCTATGGAGAATGAATAGTGTACTTATTGTGTCAGTAGTCCCTTCTTGCACAGGCATCATACCGTATACACTACATAAAAGTATAGAAATATCAGGGCTTTACAACAGCACATAAATCAGACTACAGAAAGCAGTCATACTAAACACGTCATATAGTCAGGAAATTCTTAAACACATACACAAACAGCATATAATCATATAATATTAACTTCTATAACTAGAAAGGGGATATCCAAGCTTTCACACACTGGATTTTATAGACGTTTTTCAAATTCAAAAATTAAATATTCCTCAGGTTTTATTTTTTCAAGTTTAATTGGAATGACAATACTTTCTATCAGACTGAAGTTATACTGCAGCAAAGATTCTAGTAACATTGTAAATTTGATTTAAGTGATTCATTATAAAACCTGTTTTAAATATATTTTCATAGATATCATAATATTTTCTGTTTCCTTCAAAGGCTCCCTATACTGTTACTCCATTAGTAATTTCTATTCCAATAGAATTTCCTTCAGATAAATTTCAACACCTTTAGATAGCTCTCTGCCTCTCGAAATTTTTTTCCCTTAAACAATTGCTGAAACCTCAAGATCTAGAGGGAACCTCTGTATCTGACAACATTGAATTCGAAGGCGATAATTACTTCATGTTTTGAGGGCGAGATGCCGATACTATTTGAGGGCAGTTATTATTAGAATAAAACCGGGAGTCTGTCTTTTATTCTCCAAACAACAGTCATATTTATTTACTTTTTTTATTTTTGACTTTTTTTCCCTATGAGTTCTAACGGGAACTTTTAATCATATCCATCATGCGTTCGACCAGACCTACAGTGGAACGATCGTATATTATTCAGGTTTCACCTTTTCAAGAACTTAAGTAATACTGCGGCATATTTGCCGCTGTATTACTTAAGTTCGGTAAAAGATATTGCAATTCCAAGTAAACTTGAAAAGGTAAAATCTAAGCAATATCTAACTTTTAAATTTGAAAAATATCTGATGCCTATTTCATACGTGTATTTTGATTGCAAGTTTGGAAATTTAGTGATTGAGACATCTTTACCAATAGAAACAGTGAATCAGATAAGAAGCCGATGCTTACATTTTGTTATGAATTTAGCAAATCAGGCTAGGATGATGATGTCTGAACATTTGGACGGTTTAATGAAATTGTCAACACTTAATTCAAAGAATACTCTCTCAACTAGAAAGGAGAAAATAGTTCCTTTAACAGCGAAGTTTATTCACACTAGTATTAATGTTGACTTATACCAAACAGAGTTGGAAAAACTGGAAGTTTTACCTATTTTTAGTTATGACATTTCATGCATTATTAAATTATGGGTATACAAAATACAAAATATAATCTTACCTATCCAGGGAGAGATAAAGTTTCTCAGTATCTCTTGGCTGGCTTTAGTCGTTCGTTCTTTTCCCTTTTCAAAGGCCACGGTAGAAAGGACATTTTCACGAATGAATGTAAACTTAACTGAATGCATATACGGAAGTTTGAAGCTGTTCAACACACCCGACATAGGTTGAGGTGGAGAGGAAACATGTGTTTCGTTTAAGTCTTCTCTTCAACGTTCTTCTGCTTATATACAGAATGGATATACAGTAATTAAAGTTGTCCCACTCAGACCATGTTAAAACGGACTGAAAATTTTATATGGGTACGTAATTTAATAAAAAATTTAAACTAAATAATAAAATATTATAATAAATACACTTAATGAAAATAAATTGCAGGAGTCTATTAAAGACATTATCGCATGCAGAAGTGATATTATATTTCTTTGCATAGTTGCATTCTGTAAGAAATTTTCAAGTTTGTTTTCTATAATTTACAATTTAACATTTAATCTTGTTTTCTTAATGAAACTGATGATTAAAAATATTTAATTTAAATTACAGTTCTGAATTTTATAATTCTTCTTTTTCTACATTATTTCGCTGGATTAATTATTTGGATAATCATTGGCATTGTAGGATTGGGATTATTACTATTGAGCTTATCATTATGGTAAGAATTATGAAAATAATACAGAAAGTATGATAATATTTTAAAAGTTTTTAAAATTATACTATTTTAAATATTGTGCCGTTTAGGTTAATCTGGAGAGACAAATATTTTCAAGCAGAAAACGCTGGAAGTCCTCAGCAGGACACTGATTCCCATATGTATTATATTGGCGCCATTACCTTCAGCGTTTCCTTGGTAAAACGTTAAAAACATTTAATCAATTTATATGAATTACAAAAATAAAATATAATTTGGTAATTACAGGTAATCTATGTATTGGTTGTATTAAGTATGAGAAAGAGAATACATTTGGTAAGCTTAGATTTTAAGTAACTCCATAGCCATACATTGAGTTTTAACTTAACTATCCACAGATACCTTTATTTAAGATTTAAATATTTAAATTACCTTAATTTAACGCACTAAATATTATTAACTAATATTTATGCATATGTAAAAGTTAATTAGATTGCATCAAATAATTAATATTACATAAATTTTAAGTGATATAATATTATTTATCTGTAATCATTATCATTAAAATAATACAAGTTCTTATATAATAAAACACATTATTAAATATATTAATATTTTAAAACAATTTTCTTCGTATGAATTAGGATCTGTAATAATTATTGATGATAATAATATTATACGGGATTATTAGGTTTACTATTGAGCGTAGTTTTCATTTTAAAGGGTTATTCTTATTTTAAAAGATTTGCAGTTTATTTAAGCTTTATACAAACATTTATATATTAAATGTTTATATTATTAACTTTACAGGTTGCGATGCTATTTGAAGAAGCGGGCCATGCTGTAAAATCTATGCCGATGTTGTTATTTCAACCGTTTTGGGTATGAAAATATTTAATTGAAAATAAAATTTGACTACTTTAAATTCACACACGTATATATTTTTCTTGTAAGAAATTCTTGTAGTTAGTTTTTATGTTTGCAAATATTCACAAATATTTCTTAAGGAACAATTTAATCAGAACTTATTATATTTGTCAGTTTTGAATGTACTAAGTCACATTTTCATTCATAAATATTTATCTTTATTAAAATAGATTTTAATAATTTATGTGTAATTCTTAATTAACATGCGATCCACTAGTGGCCAAGCGCTTCTGTTCCCTGAACACTGGTAATTCGATTGTATGTTTCGCTCATAGCAGGATGAACTGGCCACGTGTTTTCCGGGTTTTCTCCACGTTTTTAACACCTAAATAGGGATCCGTTATCCTTAAAATACCTCCCGAAAGGCATTTCCTTAGGCAGATCGCCCAAGTGTTGCGTTGTCGTAACTAAACAAATAAGTTTAATTAACATATTATCTGAAATATAATCTCCTAATGGGCGGCAATGAGAATAACAAATTAAATTTTTTATATATAAAATTCTGATTATCGATATAAATCTTTTATGTCTTTACGATGTTAATGCCACTTATTTTATACAGTATATTTACAAATTGAAAATTTATATTGTATATGATAATTCTCATAAATATATTTTAAATAACATTAATGAGGAAATTAAATACATACTATTATTAAATTAATATTATTGTATTAGAAAATTTAAACTATACGGTTCAAAAGATTTATTCTGTAGTGATTTCTCTACAGAATAAATCTTTTGAGTCGTATAGTTTAACTTTTCTAATCTGATTTAATCGTTTTAGTATCTAGACGTAATATTGCTCACAATAAAATGAATACTTTTATTTATTATTTTTTATGCTATTTATACTATAGTCTTATGACAAAAGAATTATCATTATGCATCTCTACCGGCTTAACTATAATTGTTTTGCTATAAAACATTTAAATTGAACGAACTTTATTTTCGAAATGATAGTTATTTAGATTTCACAAAACAAAATTGTCACTCTCATTACACTAATAAGCTGAGATTCCTTTAATCATTTAATCCTTTAATTGTTAGGCTGCAATTTGAAAAAATTGCAGACATAAATTTCCACTGTCGTCTGTCTGTCCGTCTGTCCGTCTGTCTTTCCTTAAACTCAAGAGCAACATTAGAAAAATGAAAGTATAGACCATATATCAAACCGTAGGTATACGAGGCCTCGATTAACTATATCTGAACGTCCGGTGTAAACCAAAAATTGCTTTATTCAGTTCAAAATTTTTTCCGAAAGAAGTTAGATAGATGACTGGCACGACTCCATTGCTGAAGGGAAAGCATGATGTACAGGGGCAAAACACAACAATACTACTTTGAGGTGGAGAGCATATATATGAAATGAAATAAATTAAATTTATGTATTTATTACTTTCTGGTATTTTATTCCATAATATGTATATTAACAAATCTTTCATATTTGCACTCAATAGTTCTTTTCTTTAGTTAAATACAATTTATTAAAATGTTAAACATATTTTAGTACTGTATTTCAAATTAAAATATTAATTTACAAATGAATTATTTCCTTCCTAAATAATAACGTTTTTTACTTTGTAGACCTTTGTTATTGCTGCCTCCGTAATAATGTTATGGATTGACGGAGTGTTTAGTTTTTACATTGCATCTGAACCTTATGTTATTCAAAGAAAACATATATATCCTCCTCTGAGTAAATTTAATAAGGTAATAATTGCTCTTATTATGTTCACTTCGAAAGCGATAAATTTGTTTATAATACAGCAAATACGCAAAACTGATACAAATTTTCGATTTGTTTAATTAAATACATGTTTATCTTTGACATAAAATAGATGAATATGCGTTATGAAATATATGTTTTTTAGATTTCTACGCTCTAATAATTATTCATCTTTAAACATTCCTGTAATAGTAATACAGTATTGAAAATTAAATTCAATATAATGAGTATTTAAAATAGACTTATGCAATTTTATACTGCATTTTATTTTATCACTTATTATACAAAATTCAATTTTTAATAGGTCCTATATATATAAAGAACTGAAAATTCATTATTAATTATTGTATATATGTTTAAAGCAATAATTAAATTACTTTATTATTGTTCTTTATCTTTATATATAAAGAACTGAAAATTCATTATTAATTATTGTATATATGTTTAAAGCAATAATTAAATTACTTTATTATTGTTCTTTATCTTTATATATAAAGAACTGAAAAATTTTTATACAATTTTATGTATATAAAGTATCTTATTTTTTAAAAGTATTACTTTTGTTATTAATAAATTTTAAATCAGTTTTTTTATTATTACAATTGAAACATTCGTAGTCCATGATGTTCTACTTCAGTGTTATGTTTCTCTGGTTGCTGCAATGCGTTATTAGTTGTCAAGATGTGGTTATAGCTGGTACAGTAGCAGAATGGTATTTTTCCAGGTAAATTACATTTTAATAAGTTTTATAGTAAAGTGTTATCGTTTTATATGTTGATTTTAAAGATTATAGACTTAATCACATATCAACAATTATTACACATTTAACAAAACGTGTAAATACTGCCATTATACAACAATAATAGTATTTACTATAGATTGTGAAATAAATTGTAAAGGTAAAAATTTAATAAGTCCTTGTTATTTCAATTATAGAGATAAAACTAGACTAACTTCGCCGATAATGAAGAGCATAGGCCATTTAATAAGTTATCATCTCGGATCAGTAATTTTGGGAAGTTTTATTATTGCGATTATTAAATTATTGAGAATTATTCTTTTACAAGCTGAAAAAAGGTAGATCAGCCAAGGTTATTTATAAAAATTAAATTTTTTTCTTCTTTATGAATAACTTCTTTTATTTTTCTTTTAACAGAACGAAAAATAAGCATGACGGATCAATATTGAAATGTTGTGGATGTTGTTTTAAATGTCTGCAAAAGTTTCTTATTTATTTAAATAAAAATGCCTTCATTGAAATTGGTAATAATATTTAAATTTTATAAGTATAAACACATTTAACTGTTTTAATAAGTATTATATTATATTTCTATTTATTAAATTTTATATTTTGTAATAAAATTAGATTTTGATAATTGTCCAGAATATTTATAATCAGTATATATCATTTCATTGAATTTAAGACGAAAATAGATGTTACTAAAGTGATATTATTCGAGAAAATTATAATTATTAATATGTTTTGAAATCTTCGATTGAAAGCTAGAATTTCATTCCAATATTTTGAAGTGTATTAATAATCACAACCTTCGCGTATGGCATCAGTATTTTAATAACATCTGTTTTCATTTGAAATTCAATAAAATGATACATTTTAATTATAAATTTGAATATTACAATAGGCAGTACGATTACTGCTAGCATCTAAATACTAACAGCAATCGTACTATTATAATATTCAAAGTAAGCATTTCATCTGGATATATAGCCTATCATTATATGATAGATTTTCCTATAAGCAAATGCTATAAAAAGTGTGAACCAGAAGTCGAATTATTAATTAAAATGATAGTAAACATATAACCTGTTATTAAGTAAATATGTTTCCGTGGAAGTTTTAGTAAAGTTATTGATCAATAAACTGAAAAACAGTTTATACCAAACAATATCTGTACGAAAACTCACTTAACAATAAAGATTTCAGTAAAAATTTTATTATCATTACTTAATATAGTCTAATAAAATATTTGATAAAGTAAATTTTATAATTATGTTTCACTTTTAATTAATAATATAATTTAATATAATTTTTAACTGATTAAAAATAGAATAGTAAGTTGTTCCTGATGCCGACTTAACATTAATAAACTACTGTTGATATCACACTGTATTTTCGGTTAAAGCAAAAGTGGTCATTAAAGTTCTTTGTTATGAGCCAACTTTTAGTAGATGGTTCCTTTTAAAACATTTTAAACATTGATTTTTTTTTCTAATAATAAGTTATAGCTATTATTTAGTGAAACGACTTCAAAAAAAGTTAGTCATTTTGATATATTTTGACTAATTTTGCTTTTCACATTCGTAAATTTTCTAGAAATGTCAAAACTACGACACGATGCTAAGAAAAAACATATACATAAGATGCAAATTTTCGTTAAGCCATTTCTCTCTTATGGTTTGTTTTAATAATGAAATATTAAATGCAAGAATTACATTTCTCGTTTCTATTTATAATAGCATTTACAATTAAATTATTTTACTCATTAATAATAATGTCACCATTCTACTTATAATTATCCCTATTATACAAAACGGCATGAATTACATTAATTACAATCGTCTGCTTAATATAATTTTTAATTGCTAATATTTATTATTATTATTTTAATGCTAATGGCACTGTACTGTACTTATAATAATAATAATAGTAATAGTAATAAATAAAGTAATGCAGTATGTTATATTTATCTGGCTATTTGGAAAATGTAATGTATATGTATATATATATATATATATTATCACTTGAAGTTAAAAAGTATTAAAATTAATCTTTATATTTCATTTTATTATTTTAAATCATAAATTCTAGGTTAGAATTTGAAATTATTAACTCATGAATGAACAAATGTAATTAAATTTAAACATATATTAGTTTAATCAAATGTAAATTGATTAATATCAAATTAAAGCTAAAATTATGTTATCATTTTAGTCTAATTATTTTGTCTAACATAATATAATTTTTAAGAACTCTTTACAGTAAGTCTAAAAATACTATTTTAACAAATAATATTTTATAAATAGAAAAATATTTGTTCAAATAATTTCAAATTAATATGGCTTTGATTTGCCTCAGTTTTCTATAAGTTAATCTAACATTACATTTAAAGAACTGTTATACAAATATTCTGTAATTAAATTAACTTTAAGATTCTTATATTGATCTGCTATATTAAAATATTTTTATTATCTGTTACATTATTATATGAATTGCTTTTAAGAGACATCATAATTTTCCTCTATTCTATTGAATGATATTTTATTGACATTTTATTCTATATAATGTAATATTTAATTAAAATTTATTCAAAAACAAGTCTCTGAGCCAAATTTAATATTATTTTAATTTTTATTATTCATGAATTTTAAATAGTTCTATTTAATTTTAGTCGTGTTGTAGACTCATATTTTATCCAATATCTTTTTAAAATTTATTTAAAAGATATTAATTCTTTCTCGAAACACATGATTTGTTAAGTCTTTTTAAAAGTAAAAGTAGTTGAAGATTTTTAAGGTTCTAAATTTAGATTTCATACCCTAAAAAATATATTTATAATATCAAGAAATTCAACTTTTTAAAGCAATTTTTGGACATGGATTTTGCAAATCAGCTCAACAAGCATTTTCAATTTTAACTCGTAATGCATTAAGAGTAGCTGCGATCAACTCTATTGGAAATTTTGTCCTTTTCATTTCCAAATGTGCTGTGATGATAGTTGTTTGTATTATCGGATTAGAACTCCTTAAAGTGAGTACATTGAAACATTTTCATCTTTGAAATCAATAAAATGAAAATAAAATAATATAAGATTTACTTTCTTATAGAATAAAGATGATCTGAATAATGCATTAATACCTTTATTCACTGCTTGTGTTTTAGTGTATATAATATCAACATGCTTCATGTCTCTCTATGAAGTAAGATATTTTGTATTAAGATTTAATTAAAAAGATTTGGATTTATTAACAAAATTTAACCGGACAACAAATTGTTTATGTAGATGGTCATCGACACTTTGTTTATTTGTTTCTGTGAAGACTGTGAAAGAAACGATGGAATCAACCGTCCATACTTCATGAGTAAAAGTTTAATGGTAAGGATACTGTTTTTGAATGAAATATGTTATTTTTGAACTTCTAAAATCTTTAAAATAAATATATTTTTCTACCTTTTAGGTATTTGTGGAAAAAAGTAGAGTTGCTATTCCTGAATTTTATCAAAAAGAATTAGGAACATGACTTCAACTACATAAAAAGTAAAAGCATCTATACAGAATATTTTCTAAAACTTTTTAATATTGTAAAATAAATATTTTTTTATAAATCTAAGACAATTTAACTAGTTTTTATATATAATAAATATCAGAAAACTTGAATTTATTTAATACAGACTTAATAAAATTTAATACGTGTTTTTGATAAATTTTTGTATGAAATTTTAATGCCATTACTTATAAAAAATTTTGTATCTCATGAATTAACTTGTAATTTTTTTAAAATATAAAATCACTAATATAAATTAAATAAATGTATAAAATTGTTTTAAAAATTTATTCTATATTTTGCAATGAAGCATTTCTTAAAAATATTAATTTACTTTAAAAATAATTTAAATTAATTTAATGATACTGTACAATATATAAATTGATATATTACATAACATCTTAATAATTTACATATTAAGATTTTTAAAATTAAAGAAGGTACAGAATTATACGGTTTTCTGTTCATGAATTATTAATCAGATACTTTTGTATTTAAAATGAAAAAATATATATAATTTGAACTAGTTTCAATGTCGTCAGTATTATAAGTTTTTAAGTGGTTTGAAATGAATACGAAAATATTAATAACTTATTCTTCTTTGTGTGTAAGATTTAAAAAATAAATAAAGAGAAATAATAACTTAACATGCAATTTAAAAAGATTTTTCTCTCTTATTTCTCATACCATCTTACGTTGTGCATATTCACGAATCATGAAGAAATAAATATTGACCGTCACTATAAAAATGATCTTTAGTATAATTTTCAAGCAAAACTTTAGTCTATATCAAATACTTTATTTGGAAAGATTCAAAGAAGGATTTAATTTATATAATTATATTTACAATATTACAACATTTGAAATGATTGATCTTAAATTTTAAACAGTCTATTTATTTTGTTCATTACCGTTTAAATGTTTATAATAATTATTTTACTATTTAGAATAAGTCTGAAATCGGAAACAAATAAATATGACTTTAATTATAATGGTTTGTAAAATATTTGGTAACTAAGATTAGAATTTTATCGGTTTTGTGATGTCTCAGCGCAAGGTTGCCTCGAGATGCTTCTAATTACAGGGGTTTGGCTTATTATAAGATAGTTTAGAACAATAGATCAATGATGGAACGATGGAACAATTGATGGGAAGTATTCGTGAAAAGTCATTTGGATCATAAATAAATTAAAACCGAGAATCATCATGACGTTAATAATCGTAATAATAATAATAACAGACCAGACATTACGTTCATTTGCAAACAAAACAAATATATGTCATAGACATAGATGTACCAAACACCCACAACATACAAAATACCATAAACTGTAAAAAATAATAAATACTCAGAACTCAACCACGAAATAAAGAATCTATGGAGAATGAATAGTGTACTTATTGTGTCAGTAGTCCCTTCTTGCACAGGCATCATACCGTATACACTACATAAAAGTATAGAAATATCAGGGCTTTACAACAGCACATAAATCAGACTACAGAAAGCAGTCATACTAAACACGTCATATAGTCAGGAAATTCTTAAACACATACACAAACAGCATATAATCATATAATATTAACTTCTATAACTAGAAAGGGGATATCCAAGCTTTCACACACTGGATTTTATAGACGTTTTTCAAATTCAAAAATTAAATATTCCTCAGGTTTTATTTTTTCAAGTTTAATTGGAATGACAATACTTTCTATCAGACTGAAGTTATACTGCAGCAAAGATTCTAGTAACATTGTAAATTTGATTTAAGTGATTCATTATAAAACCTGTTTTAAATATATTTTCATAGATATCATAATATTTTCTGTTTCCTTCAAAGGCTCCCTATACTGTTACTCCATTAGTAATTTCTATTCCAATAGAATTTCCTTCAGATAAATTTCAACACCTTTAGATAGCTCTCTGCCTCTCGAAATTTTTTTCCCTTAAACAATTGCTGAAACCTCAAGATCTAGAGGGAACCTCTGTATCTGACAACATTGAATTCGAAGGCGATAATTACTTCATGTTTTGAGGGCGAGATGCCGATACTATTTGAGGGCAGTTATTATTAGAATAAAACCGGGAGTCTGTCTTTTATTCTCCAAACAACAGTCATATTTATTTACTTTTTTTATTTTTGACTTTTTTTCCCTATGAGTTCTAACGGGAACTTTTAATCATATCCATCATGCGTTCGACCAGACCTACAGTGGAACGATCGTATATTATTCAGGTTTCACCTTTTCAAGAACTTAAGTAATACTGCGGCATATTTGCCGCTGTATTACTTAAGTTCGGTAAAAGATATTGCAATTCCAAGTAAACTTGAAAAGGTAAAATCTAAGCAATATCTAACTTTTAAATTTGAAAAATATCTGATGCCTATTTCATACGTGTATTTTGATTGCAAGTTTGGAAATTTAGTGATTGAGACATCTTTACCAATAGAAACAGTGAATCAGATAAGAAGCCGATGCTTACATTTTGTTATGAATTTAGCAAATCAGGCTAGGATGATGATGTCTGAACATTTGGACGGTTTAATGAAATTGTCAACACTTAATTCAAAGAATACTCTCTCAACTAGAAAGGAGAAAATAGTTCCTTTAACAGCGAAGTTTATTCACACTAGTATTAATGTTGACTTATACCAAACAGAGTTGGAAAAACTGGAAGTTTTACCTATTTTTAGTTATGACATTTCATGCATTATTAAATTATGGGTATACAAAATGCAAAATATAATCTTACCTATCCAGGGAGAGATAAAGTTTCTCAGTATCTCTTGGCTGGCTTTAGTCGTTCGTTCTTTTCCCTTTTCAAAGGCCACGGTAGAAAGGACATTTTCACGAATGAATGTAAACTTAACTGAATGCATATATGGAAGTTTGAAGCTGTTCAACACACCCGACATAGGTTGAGGTGGAGAGGAAACATGTGTTTCGTTTAAGTCTTCTCTTCAACGTTCTTCTGCTTATATACAGAATGGATATACAGTAATTAAAGTTGTCCCACTCAGACCCGTTTCCGTTGGCGTATTTTGATAAAACTTGGTATATATGTTATATGGACCATGGGAAAAGGAAAATGCAAAAAAATATTTAGATCAAATTTCTACCACCGGATGAAAAAATAGCGTACGAAGAACAAGAAACACAGAATGGAAGCATGCAAAAGGTTTTTATTCACAACATTTGTTCAATGTGTAATCCATTTGCGTGAATCACATGTTAAAAGTGCCTTATATGTAGTGTGTTCAACAGTAGCCCGATAGGTTTCTTGAGGAATTGCAGCAACTTGGCGTGTTATGCTTGCTTTTAATTCAGGCAGAGTCCGTATGCCTCCTCTATAGACATGATCTTTCAGATATCCCCACAACCAAAAGTCACAGGGATTCAAGTCTGGAGAACGAGGAGGTCAAGCATTCGGAAAACGTCTCGAAATTATCCGATCATCTCCAAATTTGTCATGAAACAGTTCCTTCACTTGTCACAAGATGGGCAATATGAGGTGTTGCCCCATCTTGCACGAAGACAGTAGTCTCTAAACATCCTTGTTCTTGTAAAGTAGCAATGACGTGACGCAGTAGCTGGCAACCGTCAAGGAACACTTTTTAGGACCTTGAGGTGTGATCTCAAAGAAAAAGGGGCCAAGAATGAAGTCAGAAGTGAAACCATACCAAATTGTAATGTAAGCAAAGTGCAGAGGCTGTTCATGCACATCAGGTGTTACAGTACCCCATATGCGACAGTTCTGAGTATTCACTGCTCAGTTTAGAATGAAATGCGTCTCGTCTGACCACAAAATGTTCCATAGCCATGCATTGTCAATGGCTATTCTGGCCAAAAACAGGAAAGCAAACTCTGCGTTGTTCTGGACCTTGAGGGTGCAGCTTATGCAACACGTGAATCTTGTACGGATATCACTGTGAAATGGATCGCATAATTTTTCGAACCGTAGACCAAGGAAGAGACAAATCACGTTACACAGCTCGAGCACTTGCCGAAGAACGTAGGGAAGCGTTTGTTCTGTCAATCACAGCAACGGCGACTTGCTCCCCAGTTTCATTTGAAATCCTTTTCCAACCTCTTCCTGGCAATACACTCAACTCTCCAGTCTTTTCAAATTTGGTAATCATCTTTCTCAAATCATACCCCGACATAGGCCCTATTCGCAAGCCTTTCAAGCGTCAATATTCTTGCAGTGCAGCCGAACTGCCGTTCTAATAGAACAACTTTACTGTACCAGTAAAACTCGATCTTTCTCTGTAAAGGCACGATAAAGAATGTAAAGAACATCAACTACTGGCTTTTTAAAAAGTTCCTAATTTGTATAGCTTCCGTTGCATGCGCCATTTTTTCACCTAGTGGTAGAAATTTGAACTAAATATTTTTTTGCATTTTACTTTTCCCCATGGTCCATATAACGTATATACCAAGTTTCATCAAAATACGTCAACGAGAACGGGCTCTATATAGGTTTGAATAAGGCAACTTTAATTATAACCACCCTGTATAGGCTATAGATGTTCGAACAATGATAATGAAAGCGTAGATTTTGTTTAATATTTGATTTAGTCTTGTGAAATAATAGGTCTACTTCAGTATTTATTTTAAATAAAACAGAATTTGAGCATTGATTTTCTTAACCAAGATGTTACGTCCTAGACCCTATTGCATAAAAAATAAGTTATAAGCTACTGGTTTGTTTTATTTCAGCTCCCAGAAACTAGGTTCTCGATGAAATTGCAAACATGTCAGAGATTTACAAATGGCAAAACAGAGAAAGCATTTAAAATATTTTACAGCACTGCTTGAATTGTAACTACGACTATTATTCTAGAATTTCTGAAAACTTAGGGAAATTAACGTAAAATTAATAAATAGCGTAAACTATGATAGCTAAGAACTGTATTTATTATCAAAGAAACTTTAATAGAAAATGAAGTTCATAAAATATACAGTATACATTAGGTATATTTTAACATTATTTTCTCACTACTGATATATAGAAAGTAACAGTCACTAAGGAAAAATAAAGCAGTTGCCATTTCAAGTATAATTTGCTTTAAAAATCGAACTTTTATGAACAAATATTTAAATACTGTAATAATAAAGCAACA